AGAGAGAGAGAGAGAGAGAGAAGTAAATATAAAAAATATTTTCTAACATATCTATGTACACAACTAAAAACAAAATATATTTATTTCTTTTCGTTTAAATTAATTAATATTGCACGATTTGTATTCCATATTATATAAATTATAAATAGATGTTAATATCAAACCTGATTTTTTTTTCTTATACCTCAGGATAACGTAAAGACAAATATGATCGCTCATGTGTTATGATAAATATATTTCAATTAACGCTAATTTTTCATAATAATTTAAATAGATATCATAAAAAGGAAAATTTCTGTTCATTTTATCGAGTTTATAAAAAGAATGGGAAAGTTGATTTTTAAAGATTTTTGAAAATTTATTTTATTTTAAAATAAGCTTTATATAACACTCAATTGTTATGTTACACAAGATACAAAGATTACATTTAACTAAAATTTTCTATTACTCTCTTTCTCGTAGAACACTGTTGCAAGATGCGCAGATTCTATAGAACATGTGCAGATTCTATAGAAATAAAACTCTAATATTCACAAAGTGATAAAGACAGATATCGATATATTTTTTATGAGGTACTTTATCATGTGTGTGTGTGTGTGTGTGTGTGTGTGTGTGTGCGCGCGCGCGCGCGCGCGCGTGTGTGTGTCATGTGCATGTTGTATACATTTAAACTAAAAGTGAAATCTCGATTGTCTCTGATCGAAAAAAAAAAATGTCAAAAGATGCGCATTCTTTCTTTCTATTTTACACGAATGTGATTTCGAAATAAAGATATCGTTTTTTTATTTTATATTCAAATACTAATAAATATTAAGAAACAAGCAAAACATAAAACACCAAAGAATATTTATAACTTGAACAAAAAGTTAATTAAAAATTTTATCATTATAGAAAAAAAATAATTCGTACCAAATATAAGTGTGGTCTTCTATTCAATGTCAAAGAAATAATTGAAATAAAATAAAAATGCGTATTAGTCTTATATATAGGATAAGCTTGTCCAATGAGTACTGTACTCCGATACTCGCTAGCTAAACGCTTCTATCTCCCCATCATTTCCTTGAAGAAGACAAGAAACAAGAAAGTGTAGACTCTCCATTATAAGCATAGGCTGATATTCATAGTCTTATAGGCTTTCTATAATAAGCTATTAATAATAGATCATGAATCAGAAAATAAGAATTGACCAATCATAGATTGAAGATAATAAAAATATTCGACTATGATAGGTCAATTCTTATTTTCGGACTCATGATCTATTATTATAATCTATCACTATCTATGGCTTATTGTAAAATAGCACTAATATTTAAGATTGTCCTAAATAAGCTAATTGTTTTAAGTACAACTATCTTATTGATTGGAATTGAATTTTAAGATGATCTTAAATATAACAATTGACTATGAATATTGCCTGATATATAATATAACTGGACCAAATAGAGTAAAAGATAAGGTGCATCGAAGAGAAAGATGCACTGTTTTATATATATTTCCAGCGTTCTCTCTGATTCATGGAAGAACAAAAATAAGGACAGGAACACGAATTCTTTTTTACCTAATTTCTGGTCAAATAATCGTGGACACTCGGTATAAATATATTATATTTATCGTCCTTTTTTTATTGTCTCCCTCAACGAGATAATGGAAAGATAGAAGCATTCAGTTTGCAAGTAAAGACTATTGAATAGATCTGATTTAAAATGTAAAGAAATGTAAAAAATAAAAGTAATAAAAAATAATGTTGACAAACATGTGAACAAATTTCTTTTGTATTTTATATATATGCTAATGTTTTAACTTGACAAAACATTTTCCAACAATATTGATACAACAACAATAATTAAATAAGAAATAGAACAATGACTGTCAATATTGCCTAAATTATGTTAAATCATGTTATAAATTATATATTTATCATTCTTGTTTGCGAAATTATATATATATATCAAAAATTCCAATGCGGAATTGAAGGCATAAAAATGAAAAAAATGAAAAAATGAAAAAAATTATTTTACATTGCAATTGAAATATATTCATATCTAATACTCAAAAAATAAATCTAACATTTGTATAATATTTTATAATACTTATCCATTTCCAACAGATTCAATTTTTTTGTTCTTCTTTTAGTTTATTGAACTTTCTAATTTTACAATAAATGAAACTTTTTAATATTTAATTTTGATTTAAGTATGTTTTCCACAAAATGAATATATTCCGTAATTTAAAATTTGTAACGTTT